AATGAACGCATGAACGCAGTGTGCTCAATTTCAAGCCTATAATGAACAAAACTAAAACAAGATTTAAAGGGGTCCTATTACACTTTTTGACTTTTTGAATTTTAGTCAGTGTATATGTTTGGGCATAAAAAAGATCTACAAAGTTACAAATCTCAAAGTCCACTCCAAAGGGAGATATTTTGTTTTTAAAAAAATCCCTTTTCAAGAACTACAACGAACGGCTCGTTTGGACTACAGCAATGTTTTCTGGGGTTTGTGATGCCACAAATGGCGCTTTTCCACTGCATGGTACGGCTCGGTACGGTTCACTTTTGGGGGGTTTTCCACTGGGTACAGTACATGGTACTTTTTTTAGTACCACCTCGGTTGAGGTTCCAAGTGAACCGTACCGTTACCAAAACGTGACGTGTAAACTCTGCTGATCACGGATTGGCCGGAGAGAATCATCACTACCTGCGTCACTGAACTTGCGACACAAACACAACAGAACCGCTAGATTTAAATCAGCACAGCCAGCGAAGGATCGAACGCAACTGTTTTGAACGAGCACACCTTTTTTTAACAAGCAAAAAGTGATTGTTTCGTTGTCTGTTGAGGAAGTACAGACGTTCCTCTCATTGATAGCAGAGGAGCGGATCCAGCGAGAGCTTGATGGGGTGAGGCGGAATTAAAACGTTTTTCAGGAGTCGCGGCAATAGAGGCGGCGCAACTATAATGACATGTGAACAATCCCGCCCACTCTAAAGCAGTACTAAACGGCAGTGGAAACTCAAACCGAGCCGTGCCGTACTGTGCCGAGTCGTACCCATTAGAATATCATTAAAATAATTCCCGCCTACGAAATTCTAATGGTTGGGGGGTGGGGAGGGGCGAGGTCGTGGTTAGAACGCTTGGTTGAGTGCATCAGACAAGACGACGACGACGAAGTGCTGCTGTAGCCTGAAGTTTTCGCAGGTTATTACACATGCACCTGAATAATTATGTATGTAAATATGTATGTTACAATTATGAAAACGTTTTTTATAAATTGCTGACAGTACAATCCTGGATAATGATGTAATCTGCAGAATTGACACTTTAATTTTGAGACTACAGTGTTTCCCATACATTGAGTGCAGGTGTTTTTATATCACTGTATTTCTGAAGGAAACTGACTGTCTTCAGAAAATTTTGGATGTCATTTTCATGTCTTCTTGTATGTCTGATAAAGCAGCGTTTGTGAGCGAAGCGCTGCTTTGTGTACAGTCGTTACCGGGGAAACCTCTATCTCTACTACTTCAACAGCGCCTGCTGCTGCCAGAGAATGAGTTTGCATATATATGCCGCCACAAATAGATAGTTCAAGTCTGTGGGAAACACTGGACTGTGGTATAAATAAATTCAATTGTATAACAGTTTCACTGCAATTCATGTTATAATGTTAAAATTAAAGAACAATAAACAAAATACATATGCACTTATCTGTACTTAGTAAATGCAGTTATTTTTAAGCGGTTGTTGACATCCTATCCAAAACGTGATTTAGCAAAAAACAACAACAACAACGTTACCACTCTAATATGTCTTGCAATATCCGTGCGTGCAAAGGTTCTGCGCGATCCTCTTGTTCAATATTCTCGGGGTCTGAATCCAGCTCAAATTGATACGGCAATATTGACGCTATCCTTAACTATACCGGAGCAGACGGAACTTGCTGCTTTGGCAAGGGGCGGGGCAGTACTGAAACACAGGCTGTTCACCAATCACAACGCATTGGGACAGCTAACCAATCACAACATATTTCGTTTTTCGGAAGGCGGGCCTTCATCAAACCCGGAACTATTCGAGCCATTTGTGCCAGGCTGGGGAGAAAGGTATTGTAATAATGTAAATTATGTGAAAAATAATGCGTTTTTCCAACCACCAAGCATGAGAGCATGTTCTAGTACACCCCCAAAACAAAATCAAGACTTTGTAAAAGAGCATAATAGGACCCCCTTTAATATCTAGCTTCAAAGAGATTTATCCCTGAATGGTAGGGTTTTACTATCCAAAGCAGAGGGGATATCAAGATCTGTCTATGTGTTGTTAGCTTTA